AAATACATATATTAAAACTTGTCTTCTACTTTGATATCCAAGCAGCTATCAGATCACTGGACTGCTGCGAAACATACGACTATCGAATGCAGGCCGGACTTGAACAAATTAGCTACTAATTTTGCCACACACAAACTAAAGTTTACGTGGCGGGTCAAAATAACAGATTCGTCTACATGTATGACAAAAGTCAAATCTGACGCAATTTCGGCAAGAAAAGGTCCCACTAACTCACTCGTCTATTAAGTAGAACATACTTTACTTCAGCAAGTGACTTTTTCGCAGTTGCCGTGGGGAGGAAGACATCATAGAACACTACCTCTGCCACTAGGAAACGTTCATTTCACCATTACTTTTTTGACTGTCTGGAGAACAGGAACTCATGAATTCTCGCGGTTCAATAACATAACTAATTGCTTCTCTCCTATACTGAATGTAGGCAGTCGCTTCAACTTAACTTATCCTAACCTAAAAATTTTTTAACAAAGCTGTTTCCAGAATAAGTGTTTTTTTTTTGTTATTCATGTAATATCGAAGAAGCCTACAATTTCTAAGGTACCAAAGAACGCAGCCATAAAACTGCGAAAATTATAAAGCTATGGAGCGAATCATGCACTGCTTCATGACAATCACAACCTAGGGCAAAGGGTATAAAGTAGAAATCCCTAGCAGATGGTAATGTATCCTGAAGGTTCCGGTACTTACTAACTCTATTTGGTTCTAGACTGTCAGATCTTAAATGGAGACTAAACTACCTGGCATTATATGAGAGTTGTCACATAAGGATTCTGTTAAATGAGCTTTGCGTGTAAGCGGTTACCCAAAGCATAGCATTACATACATATGTATGCAGAAGTCTGTTGGTTTTTGAATTCTACGTAAAAATTACATTCTATGGAGGGCAGTTCAAAGTATGCACAACTGAGCTATAGTCGGAGAAGGCGTTTAATGGGCACAACTAAGGGTACAAGACTAAATTGACATCTTCCGAGCCGAACTTGCCACTGCAAAGGATATATCCGAGTGCTTATACGGAGGCATACGAGGCAATGAGATGACGGCAGAGTGGACCCGATTGAGGACCTAAGTGAACTGGAATACAACAGTCTCTTCAACCTAACCTAATGTAATCCCATAATAAAAAAAAAAATTGGTCAGCTACATATGTGGTACGCTCACCCATCCGCGGAGGAATATATCTTTTTAACAGGTTTAAACAGGTTTAAACAGAAGCCGAAAAAAGGCCAACAAATCAAAAAATTGCTAGAAAACCAAAACACTTTGTCAAATTTGTAACCTTTTTATTTAGCACACATTTGTAACCATATAAATATGTACATACATATTTAGTTTTTCTCTAAATCAACAGGTAGTCCAAATTAAACAGTCATTGACTGTTCCGAAACATACTTGAAAACAAGCAAACACACTGTAGTACAAAAAAAAAACATTTCCGTGCACATAAAACGCTGGTTGGCAATTCGCCAAAGATGGAGTGGCTGGCTGACCGCCCAAACAAATTGATAGCACACCACTAACTACATGTCTGGTGTGCAGCCTTTTATTGGCACCTTGCTTTCCATTTGGATTGAGGAAATGAAAAAGTAACACGCATAAGTGATTACACTAGCTAAATGTATACAAACAATTAATGGCGAGGGCTGACAAGAACTTTTGGGTGAACGAAAGTGGTAGAGAGAGAGAGATCACTAAAGGAAGTAAAAGCTACAAGAAAGACTTCTGATATACCTACCTTAACACGTATGTAAATGCCACACATATGTACCTACATATGGACATAGATATAAACAAAGAGCAATGAAAGTATACACCTTAAAACAGACAAACAAGTTGGCCGACAAATTGAATAGATAAACGGAAAAGAATATTTTGAATACGAAGTGGAAAAACACCGTGTGTTGCACTTCAACAGACAAAAAACAAAAACAAAAACATATTTTCCATGTATAGTTGAAGGTATACTTTTATGCATATGTATTAAGTATGTATGGACATAAGTGTTGTGTGCTTCATAGGTAGACACTTTGTAGTGCTGGGGAAACGACCTAATTAAATAACGGTGGACAAC